GCCGACCCAACTACACCACCACGCGCATGCCTCGCGGCGGATATGCGCAGCAGCAAGAAGGTTTCGGTCATCCCTTGAGGGTGAGTCTAGCCCTGCTCGCCAGAAAGACCCCCCCCTTCACTACAACCCATGTCTAAGCAAAAGCTTGTCGAGGAGCGAGGGGAAGAAGGGAGACAATTGAGTGGCAGGAACAATCGCCGCCCATCGGCAAAACAAAATGCCGAATATCTCGCGAACCAGATTTTTTTCGGAAAATCGGAAAAAAATTCCATCTGGGGAATTTCGAGAGGAATCGATTGCCGTGGTCTTTTTGAAGCTCTATGGTTGAATGTCGGAGGGAAAAAGTGAACAAAATGGTCTCTCTAATCCAGTTTTTCGGCGATAACTTCGTCAATTTTCGCTGAAATCGAAATCGGAAAAAAATTCCACGTGGGGAATCGCGAGAGCTGTCGAAATCCGGTCTCATAATAATAATTGTGGTCTGACAAAAGCCCACCCCAGGAAAAAGTGAACAAGATTTTCCGGTTATTTGCAGATAAATCGATAAGAAAAAAATAAAAAATAACTTTCCACAGGGACCTGCACCTGGAAACAGGGCGTTTGCCGGTACTTTCGGTTTTGCGAACAACCACCTGGGTGCAGAGAAACAATTCATAAAGTGGGTGTCGCNGTTTGCCGGTACTTTCGGTTTTGCGAACAACCACCTGGGTGCAGAGAAACAATTCATAAAGTGAGTGTCGAAATTGTTGATATTGGGTCTTGGACTGACCATAGTCAAAAGGATGCATATCAGAGGGAACTGCAGCAGTAGCAGTCAACAGTGAAGGAATGTTCACGAATACATACCAGCAGCAACACGGGCAGCCCCAACGCGCCTACGGCTGGCTGATACAACACCGAAACCGCCTCCTCACGACTGTTCTTTTTGTATCTATCTACGGAGACGGGGACACCCGAGAAACGAGCGCAGAGACAAAAATGCAATAAGAAATCAACCGTAACCCATTTTCGCACCATAGCAAGACTACGTGGCACCGTCCTCAATCTACAATGAAACCTGACTCAATGGATGATGCGGATAGATCATTTGCATGAATCATGGCGCACAAAATCTAAGGGAGCCCCGACTTGTGCGTGCGAGCGTGATTGCGCGTGCACGTCCGAGGGGGGTGGGGGAAGGGGAGGGATCCTGAACATTTTCATTGACGGCACCATACACTTGTGAACGAACCCAAAACAGGCAAACCTCGCCGATTCGCGAAGATGATCATGGGGTGTGAACATGTAAATCATCGCACTCACACAGACCAAGCAAGAACTGGTGGGATGCACAAACCATCAATCAACGCGGCATCGAAGACGTGAACCCGTTCCCCTTTCTCCAACATCCACCGTGCACCTACCGGGAACTCAAAGCTGAGTTGGCCACAAAGAAGCACATCCGTCCCGCCGTCCGCCCCTTCCGCTCCCCGCGCTGCATCCTTCAGCGAAAGAGTACTCTCCGTATGCAGGCATGTGTGCAGGACTCCCCATGTGCAGGTAAAATGTGTGCAGGTTGACACATTTCCCGCAATCGGAGCTTTCACGGGCTATTGTAAGCATGTCCACTCTCTTCACTACCACTTCCGGGTGGGCAATCTGACCCAAGACGTAACTTTCATTCTTCACTTCTTGCCGGTATTTGGAAGCAAGCGTGGTAAAAACATAGCTGCCGGATAGTCCGCCGCAAACCGATCGACGGCGCTGCTTCGGTGCTCCTAGGCTACAGGCGTCGATCGCACACGGAAACCTAGTGTCCGTCACCCGCGTAAGAAAGCATAGTAAGTACCCGCCGACCAATCAAAGGATTCTCGCCAATCGATCTCGATCATGACTTTTTCGCAAACGACCGAGGAAACATCCAGCAATGCCACACGAGTAACGCCACACGAGACACCTGAGACCACTCGGGGAAGTATTGCGCAAAAAAACATCCGTAAGTTGCCACGCAGATTAGTAGCGGTTGGGACTTGTCTCCAACAGCGCAACATGCAGTCTACCTCCACACACCTACCTTCTCTCAAACCAAGAAAAAAACTCCTCTAGTCTGAAAAAAAAGAGAAAGAAAACGATACGGCGGGTGCTCAAAATTACAAGGCCTGTGGAGTCCCAACCTGAACATCTTTTACCAGTAGAGGACGTCATGGAGCAGAGACTTGCGCGTTGGTACGCCCGGATCTGTTGCTGGGGCCGTGCTGTCGAAGGCTGCAGCTACGGTACGGAAAACCCGCAAATCTACTTCAATACCATTCACGATCCACTGCAGTACGCGCCGTAACAGACCAATCAGCCCCCAGTAGTCTAGACTAGACAAGCAACTCGGGAATGGTGTACTGCAAAGTGAACCGTCGTGAGTGAATGATAAGGACCCAGGTTTGCCGACTCTTCGGACCGCAACTGCAGCCTTCCACAGCACGCCCCCAGCAGCAGATGTGGACGTGCCCACGCGCGTGTCGCCGTCGCGCCAACATGCCCTCTACTGGTAGACTATAGATAATCAAAGCTGGGACTCCGCAAGCCGAACGTTCGTTATCAAAAATGTCCTACTAATATCTTGGATTCAGAATAGAAATATTTTTTACCGTGGTTGGCAGACCCCCGTAATTTTTATCCATCCATGTACCAGCACAACAGGACGAGGACACTGTAACGCCAAGACACATTTGGCATGACCGAGAAAGAGTCATCGAACACTGGATAGCCCCCAGAGTCTTAGCTCCAACCACCCGTCCGGCCACGCCTTACTCCAAAAAAGAAGCAGCAACAAGCAAGAACACACAAACAGAAAAAAAGAGAAAAAAAAAAGAAGAGCGTATGCACAGGAAGCCACGAGGACAAGTCCAGCGTCCGGCGGAATTCACCCAACCTCGACGTCACCGCCACACGGTCCCTCAAGGACAACTGGACTTCATTATGGTACTGTTACCTATGATCGTCCAATAGTTCACACGAGCACACATACACCTGCAACGAGAGAAGAGAAGAGATACCGCGAACCGGTGAAACAGCACACAACAGCGCCAAGCCCAGAACGAAAAAGGTTGAAACGACGGTGATTGTAACATCGAGGGCATCCCCCTGCAATGAAATGGCGGTATACACTACTGCTGCGGCAGAATCCCACCTCCACCCACAACACACCACCAAACGGCACGTTTCATACCCCCCCCCTAGAGCAAAGCACATCCACAGCGGAAAAATCGAGCAAAATAGAAAGGAAAGCACGTCCAAAGGTTTCTTCCAAGTGATCCCGTACAGGAGGAGAATCTGCTTGTAGCAACTCCCCGCTCCGCCGAGAATTCCCACCCGCTGGGCAACATCTCGCACACCCTACCCTGCCCCTAGGCACCGCTGTAACCGAACGACCAAGGATAAACCACAGGCCGGTTTATCGGCAAAACATGAGCTCGCTGGCGACGCGCGTCTACCGCACAACCGCGTCTCGTTTTTCACGAACACCGTAACGGTTGAACAACGGCCGTCGAAAATTTTGCAGTACTTAAGGAAAACGGACTCAATCTGGCTCCTTCCTCCCGTCCTTAAGGAAGCGTTTTACGCCCGTTAGCCCGGCATCTTTCGGCCTTCATCAAAAACGTGTCCGTACATGCGGGCGTTCACGTTGTGGCGACGCACCTGCCGTCATCAGCGCACCCCGCATACTACTGGGGAAGACACAACCGTTACGACATAATCGCACCGCCTGTTCACCAAACAAGAACTACTCCCAGAAACATGCCAAAAGTCTTACATGAGAAGTACGCCCACCGCTGTCCGGGTCGCCATCCGCTCTTGGATAACTACTGCCGTACTGTCCACGCACCGCAAAAAAACTTTTTCAACAAGAGCGATTCCGCGAAATCAGACCCAACCCCTCTCCGACAAACACGATACCACAAACACAACTCGACCGCAGGGGTTCCCCCACACCTTTGAAAACGGGGCCCGTCTCATCCCTTCCCCTCGCCAAAGCATGACACAGTAACTTACCCTCAGCATCATCACACCCCTAACAATACGCCACGAAACATTATCCCCACCACCGCTACCGCCTGCCTCTACGGGCCGGAGGCGAGCGGCTGCACCTTGGACAAGTCCTTGGAGAGCAGGTACTGCCGGACCTTGACGGCGGCTCCCTCCCTGGCGGCCTTGATGGAGCTGCCCTTGGCCTCCTTGACGAGGATGAGGCCGGCGAGCTCTTCAAGGCGGGAGGTAACGATGCACCTAGCCTCGAAGAAGCACGTGTTGACGCCCGACCCTTTCACCTTCCTCTCGTCGTACTCGAATACAGGCTTGATCGTCTGCGCCAGCTGGGCGGCGGAGTTGAGCGTGCACCTGCAGGAGGAGGATGGGGGGGGGGGGGGG